AAATGGGTGCAGCTTTAGAGCTATGGGCTGTCCCCATTCAATAAGCGCTCACAAAAATCAAAACTCTTTGTAAATATCTTTTTGTCTTTGTCCCCTCATGTCAGAGATAATATTCAAAATATCACCCTGCAACTCACAACTGGCAATCCACTGAAGCTAAGCAGGTGTGAGCCTGGTCAGTACTTGGATGGAAGAACCTCCTGGAAAAAACTAAGGTTGATGCTGGAAGAGGTGTTAGTGGGGCCAGCAGGGGGCACTCACCCTGCGGTCTGTGTGGGTCCTAATGCCCCAGTATAGTGACAGGGACACTATACTGTAAAAAGGCGCTGTCCTTCAAATGAGAAGTAAAACAGAGGTCCTGACTCTCTGTGGTCATTAAAATTCCCAGGGCATTTCTCAAAAAGAGTAAGGGTGTTACCCCAGCATCCTGGCCAAATTTCCCATTGGCCCTTACTAATCATGGCCTCCTAATAATCCCCATCTCTGAACTGGCTTCATCTCTGTCACGTTCAACATCTCACTAACCTGGTCTCTAGCTCCCTTCCTCAGCCTCTCGTTTCCTACCCTCCCGTTAATCCCATTCAGCCACCAGTCTCTCTTGCCTCCACTACTCCCCTGCCTCCTCCCACACCGGACCGATTTGATGGCACCCCGACTATGTGTCAGACTTACCTGACTCAATGCTGGATGGCCTTCAGCCTTCGTCCGGATTGTTTTCCCACCAACCGCGAACTCAGCTTCTCCTCCTCTGTTCTCCTTCTCTCCCACTTATTCTCGGTTTCCCTTGGCTACAGTTACACAATCCCCGTATTTCCTGGCCCGACAAGGAACTCACTGCCTGGAGTGATCACTGCCTAACCCACTGCTGTCAGCTCCCCACGAAACCTCATGTTCTTCAGATATCTCTCACGTCACCTCCCCACTTATTCCCCCCGAGTATGCCGATCTTCACGTTGCTTTTAGCAAACCAAGAGCTCTTTCGCTTCCTCCTCATCGCCCTTATGATTGCGCTATTGATCTGGTTCCCGGAGCCTTACCACCTAGAGGGCGTGTTTACCCCATCTCCGTGCAGGAAACCAAGGCACTGGATACCTACATTCAGGACCCCTGCAGTCTGGTTTCATCCGCCCGTCCTCATCTCCTGCTTGCACCAGTTTTTTTATTACCAAGAAGGACGGTTCTTTGCGTCCGTGTGTTGATTACCGGGGTCTGAACGACATTACTGTTAAGAATCGTTATCCTCTGCCTCTCATTCCTGCTGCTCTGGAGTCTCTTCATGGCACAAAGATTTTTTCCAAACTGTACCTGCAGGATTCTTACAACCTTATCTGGATTCGAGAGGGGGACGAATGGAAGACGGCTTTTATCACCACTCACAGCTATTATGAATATCGTGTCATGCCTTCCGGTCTTGCCAACGCTCCGACCGTCTTTCAGAATTTTATGAACGACATCTTCAGGGACATCATTCACCAGTATGCGCTCGTCTATCTGGGTGATATATTAATTTTTTCCAGTAGCCTTCAGGAGCATGTTATTCATGTCAGGGAGGTCCTCACCCGTCTTATTAAGAACAGTCTCTATGCCAAACTGGAAAAGTGTTCTTTTCATGTTTCCACTGTCCAATTTCTAGGTTATGTCATCTCTCCCCTGGGCATCGAGATGGACCCCTCCAAGATGGAGGCCATTAGGGACTGGCCAACCCTGGAAGCAAGTTCAGCGCTTCCTTGAATTCTCTAACTTCTATCGTCGTTTCATTCGTGATTTCAGCTCTGTTGCCGCTCCCATCTCTGCCCTCACTCGTAAGGGTCCGACTCTGGGCAAGTGGACCAATGAGGCTGATCGTGCCTTTCTACGCCTGAAACACCTCTTCACTTCAGCTCCCCTCCTTCGTCACCCTGATCCCTCACTGCCCTTCGTTCTGGAGGTTGACGCATCGGCGCGTGGCGTTGGAGCAGTTCTGTCACAGTGCTCTGGGGACAACTCATCTCTCCATCCCTGTGCCTTGTTTTCCAGGCGTCTCTCCCCTGCTGAGGTAAACTATGCTGTGGGAGACAGAGAGCTCTTGGCCATCAAGCTCGCCCTGGAAGAATGGAGGCACTGGCTGGAGGGAGCCCAAGATCCGTTCACCATTCTTACGGACCATAAGAACCTCTCCTATCTCCAGTCTGCTCGGCGCCTCAATTCTCGCCAGGCCAGATGGTCCCTATTTTTTGCACGTTTTGCCTTTTTCATCACATACACCCCCGGCTCTAAGAATATCAAGGAGGATGCCCTTTCCTGTCTGTTTGATCCACTGGAGCTCGAACACCCTCCCGAAACCATCATACCCCCTCATCAGATAATTGCGGCGATCTGTCCCAACATCAAGCACATCGTCCGAAATGCCCTCAAGGACCAGCCTGTACCTCCCTCATGCCCTTCGGATAAGCTGTTTGTGACTGATCGGGTCCATTCTGAGGTTCTCCAGTGGGCTCATGACTCTTGTTTTGCGGGTCATCCTGGCGCCCGCCGGACTTTGGAACTTCTCTCTGAGGACTTCTGGTGGCCCTCCTTACAGGCTGATGTTTCGGGTAACGTGAAAGCCTGTCCCATCTGCGCTCGGATCAAGACACCCCGTCACCGGAAGGCTGGCTTACTCCCACCTCTTCCAGTACCCACGCGGCCTTGGTCCCATATTGCTGTGGATTTCCTCAAAGATCTTCCCAGGAGTCTTGGCAACACAGTGATTATGGTCGTCGTCGACAGGTTTTCCAAGGCTGCTCATTTCGTTCCCTGCTCCTCCTTGCCCTCCGCTCAACAAATGGCCAATCTCTTTGTACAGCACGTTTTTCATCTCCACGGGATCCCGGAGGACATCATCTCTGATCGGGATCAACAGTTTATCTCCCACTTCTGGAAGGCCTTCTGTTCTGCTTTGAGCTCCAACGTTTCTCTTACCTCTAGCTATCATCCAGAATCCAACGGCCAGAC